CTAATATAGATGTTTTTAAATATAGAGTTTGGGATGAGTGTAAGTTGGTTTTTTAGAATGTAGACAAAGGGTATCTTGAAAATTGTAATGCTATTCTATTGATTAAGAGGTCATAGTAGATTCTTCAAAATAAGAGAGTTATAGTTTTTCTTTGGTCTATACTATTTTTAACTGAATAAAGATTAGTAAGTCCAAGGTTAAATATAACATAGTTTTGGTAATCAGTAAGGAAATTAATGAGTGTATTAATAAGAGGTTAAAGCATTAATATACATTCAAGAGACTTAGTAAAAAGATTAAAGTTTACAGAGTCATATGTTTTGCTTATATTCTGAGACAAAAGCCAGAATTGTTTATTATTGCAACTGGCATTCTTAATAATATTGTTGAGTATATGTATAGGAATGGAGATACTATTGCCAGGTAGGATAATATAGTTATAGAAGAATAAGATAAAGTATTAAGTAAATATTAGATTAAGATAATTAGTAAGAAGTTTGATATATAGTTTTTTAATATATTTAACTAGGCTAATAGGTCTTGTATTAGATAAGTTTCTATTGAAAATAGGTTTTTTTGATATTAAAAAGATGCAACCTTCTTTCTATTGCCTAAGTATATAGTTAGTTTGAATGCATCAGTTAAAAAAAGTAGTTATTGTTTAAAGAAAGGCAGGACCAATCTGTTTTAGCATTTTATAGCTAATTTCAGATAGACTACATGCCTTATTGTTAAGTAGTTAATTAAAAGTTATAAAAATTTCATTTCTTAAAAATTCAGCTAGAGCTAAATTGTAATAGTTTGATCTAGTTGTGGTTTTGGATTGGTATTCCTCTGACCAGTTAGAGTTAAATTCATAGGTGTCAATAGGTCTGTAAGCAGTCTAGTTGTTAAAATGTTGTTTAATTTGTTTTTTAATAAGTTTGAGATCTGTTATAATGTCATTTGGTGTTTTAAAGTTGTTGATTTTTACAGAGTCTTTGTGATGATTAAGTATACTATTGATCATTGCTTTGGGATTAGTTTGAAGTTTAGAACATTGATTAGTGATATATTGGTTTATTTGTTCTCTGATCTGCTTGATGTTTTCTATATTTCAAGTACAATAAAGAGATTGCCATTCAGTGTTAGTATTAGTAATTCAGTTTGGTATAAGTTCATAAAGTTTAAGTATAGGATTTATATTAAGTTAATAGGTTAAATTAAGATATAAGATTGAAGAATTAAGATGTATAGGTATTGGTATTGTATTGATTAAAGAAGATTTTACTTGTCTAATAATGCTGTTTAGTTTTTTGAGGCTTTGATAAAGTAAGATAGATTTGGCAGAAAATGAGTATTGAAAATTACAGATAGTAGATTTTTTGTTAGAAATACATTTAGTAGCTGCATTAATAATACTAGTTTGAATTTTATATCATATAGTTTCTAATGATTCAGAAGTTTGGATTGAGGTAGGAGTTTTGTTTATATTGAGATTATGAGTAACTTGGTTAGCAAAGATTTCCTATTGCTCTTTGTTCATTGCTTTGTAATTGAAGATTTTTTGGTGAGTTCAGATTGAATGTCTGTTTTTATCAATAAAGGCATAAAAAAAAGTCCAAGAGAATATAAGAATTTTTGTAATAACTTTAAGTGCAGTTTTCTGCATCATCTAAGTAAAATGAGTTAAGATATTTAAGTAGAAGAAGGTAGGCCCAGATGTAGTCAATAGTACTGTAATGTCTATTATTATGCCAGGTGTAAGAAGGAGTATTTATATAATCTGCCAAGTTGTAAATATTATTGTATTATAAAAATTGCAGTAATTTGTATTTGATGGATAAAGAGGTGAAATTATTAAATAGCATATTGAAGTTATCTAGTATTATAGGTAGAATATTTCAGTTAGTTGCTTGTTAAATTTATTAAATAATAATATTTTGTATTTGAAGTCTAAGTTGTGAATTTTCACATAGTAGATATATAGATATTATTTGAAATTTGTGATCATGTTTAAAGAAAAGATTAATAGAAATAGCATAGCCAGAAAAAGTAAGGATATTGTGTATATAAGGTGTAAGTTGTTTTTAAATCATAAGTGTAGTTTCTACTTTGGAACTGTTAATACAAGACCAAAAGTAAGAGAAGTGTTTTGAATTGTGAAGTTTGGTAATAGCATTATCTTTTGCTATTTTAGTTTCTGTAATACTGATAATATTCAAGAAATAAGAGATGCAATAATCTTCTCAAACTTGCTATTTGAGGTTTTTATTATATTCTTTAACATTGTGAGTACAGATTGTAAGATTTAGAGGTAAGATGTTTGGGATTCTGGGTTGTATTAAGTTACTAGAGATAGAAGCTAGAAGTGCTAATATAAAAAAGACAGATGTTGATATGTTTAATTTTAGCTGAATGTTCAAATAATGTCAGATGGCTTAAACTAGTAAGATAAAGTGATTAGGTAATAGTTTAGCTTTAGATGAAAGATAAACATGAGCTTCACTATGATCATTTTTAATAGAAATAGTTAATGTATAGTCACAAGTGTTATTAGATAAATAGCCAAAGCTGTAGATGTGTCATAAGAAAGAAATAATAGTTTGAGGATAAGAAAGCAGTAGTAGATAGTTATAGAATAGAAATTTGTTGTAGCAAGTATTGAGTTGAATATTGTCATTGTATTGTTTGGCTATTGTAGTTTTATTATGACCTTCTAAGATAATTCCTACTAATTGAAAGTAACTGTAGTCTATATCACTTTTTTTTATAATTAGATTAGTGTTTGGTGTATTATTGTTTATTAAAGAGAATTTAAAAAGAATAGATATAGATAGATAATAAGTATAGCCTGATAATTGTAAAAAAAAATATTCAAATAAAGGTTGGAATTTGTTTAGAAAATATATATAGCATTTGCTATAATCAATTTTGATTGATATTGTGAATATATAATTGAAATTGTTTAGTTGTAAATAGTTGAATAATGAATGTGTTTTAAAAAGAAGCTAAGTGTTTGAGGATGTAGAAGTAAAGGTAGGTTCAAATATGCTAACTACAAGTTGTAGCATGAATCTGGATTATATAGTGTATTGTGAGATGAGTCTTGTAATTCTTTCTTGATATGAAATAATAAAATGGAATTTAAGAAAGTAGAAAGTCTTCTGTAGATTCACTTACTGTATGCTTGGCTTGCATAGCTATGCAGGATATTATAGTCTGTTCTGTATATTGGGTTTGGCTGTTATTAACCTGGTTCTTCACATTTAAAGTTTTGTGCTACTTTCTTATTCATGATATTCAAGTAGGTTTCTGACTCTTCAGTTCTTTCACTTTTTATGCCTAGTAGTCTTATTATAGGTTTGTACTAAAGTTTTATACAATACTAGTTATTAACATTTCTCTATATAGATGTAATATTATATTTTGCATAGATGCTCTAAGCTCCTATTCAAGATAATGCAACTAAAGATTACAGATACACTAATTTAACTGATTGACAGAGACAGTTACTGTAACACAAACTTATTTTTCAAAATTTATTATTCATAAGATTTGAACTCTAGATCTGCTACTTGGAGGTTGAAAACCTGACTATTTTATTAGGTTATCACACCTATATATATAATATAATTAACCTTCTCTAAATACAACTCCTCTAAATGCAGCACTCTTTTAAATACATGATAAATCTTTGACTTTACAATAGGTCTTATAAATAAATGCACATTCTCTATTCTCTAAATGCATGCTATTTTATCAGCTCTGCATAATAAATTCCCCTATAAGTGCAGTTACATGTTTATTACTAAACAATAGCCAATTAAAATCTGTTATTTTGATTTCTTATACAGTAATATAACAATAACAATAAATGCATGCATATATATTAATATTGCTAATACAGTATATTATTGTTTTTAAAAGTTAGTAGATATTATAATTATATGTATATACTATATAAAATAATACCAAAATATAGAAAACATCTAATTCTGCAAAAAGAATTATTATAGAAATAATCCAAAATTTTAATCAATTTTTTTAATTTTTCTAAAATAAAAAAGCCAAGCTATTCATTTTGTAACAACAATCTGTAGCAATAAATATTTCTGTACCTTGGCTAACTTCAAACAATAAATAAATTTTAATTAATTTTTTTAATTCTTTTGAAATAGAAAAGGTGAGCTATTCATTTTGTAACAACAATCTGTAGCAATAAATATTCTCATAGTTTGCTAACTTCAAATAATAAATAAATGCTTTATCAATTTAAATTATAATTACTTAAATAATAATAATAACCAACTTGATTAAAATAGTATTACTAAACCCATTGTCTTAATATTAATAATAGTATTATAACAATTGCTTGAAACATTTTTATAAATGAATTTGATTTGAAAATTAATTTAAACCTTTGAAATGTGAATTTATTCTCAACTCAAGCTTAATTTAATGTGAATAAGAACAATTCAGAACTCTGATGCAGCTTTAATATATCTTAAAATAGTTAGCATATACAATTTTTAAAATCATGCATATAAATATGAATAAATTCATATTTAAATAAATCATTAAAATACATATGATATATATACATACTAGCTTTAGAAAGGCTATATTTTTTTATTTACAGAAAAATGATATTTTTGAGGTTATACACAAATTTGTACAATATGCTGTCTGTTTCTAATATTTTTTGTATCTTGCATTAGCTAAGCATTGTTAGTTTTTGAGCCTTTTCTTTGTTAGTTTCAATAGATACTAATATTCTTTATAAAAAGATCAATAAAAAATTAGTTAAATTTAGTCAGTATGTACTATAAATTAAAAATGTGATTAGGTATAAATTTAGAATATTTTACTAATAAATATTTTACAAATTATTTTCCAAATAAATAGTATCCAAATCAATTATAATTTTGACTATTAAGTTCTAACAAAAATTATATCATTAAATAATAAAGTTATATTAAATAAAAAATTCATCTTGTAAACTATAACAATAAAAAAGTATGTCTTCTAATAAATGTAAAAATAAAACTACTCTTACCAATAAACAAAAACAAAAGATTATTATGTATAAAAATCAAAATTCTAATATTACCCATGTTGAACTTGTTGATTGGATAAAAAATAAGTTTAATCTTGATATTTATTCAATTGCCATTAGGTGTCTAATAAAAAATAAAGATGATATTGAAAGCAATCTTTCTAAAAAAAGACAAAAAACAGTACAATTTCCTGAGCTTAAAAATGCATTACTTGAATGGGTTCTGCAAAACCAAGAAAAAATAAGATTAAGCAATGCAATTCTTATTGAAAAAGCAAAAAGTTTTGCACAAATATTGAATTTATTTAATAGTGATCTTAAATTTTTACAAGGGTGGCTATTCAAATTTAAAAAAAAGAATAGATTAGAATAGATAACAAAATATAGAGAAGAGGCTTCTGTAGACAAATCTGTTATTGCAGTTGCTATTCCTCAGTTAAATAAGATATTAAAAGAATATAACTTAAAAGATATATGTAATATAAATGAAACTAGATTATTTTATTAGTATATTAAATCTTATTACTATATTATTCAGAAATAATGCTTTGAAGTATTATTTTGGAATATGCAATTTTCAAAGGGCTAAGAATTAATTTTATTTATTAAAAATCTTTGAAATTAATTCTTAGCTCTCCAAAAATTACATACTTTAAAATAACACTTCAAAGTATTATTTTTGGATAATATAATATATTGATTGATATTTATTTTTATTATCACTTTTTTTTTGTAGTCTTGAACCAAATACTATACTAGCCAATGTTTGTCTTAAAGAAAAAAAAAAGATCTAGAATGATTAACTGTGACACTTTGTGCCAATGCTAATGATACTGATAAAATAAAGTCATTTATAATTAGCAAATTCTTCAACTCATGCTGTTTCAAAGAAGTAAATCATAACAAGCTTGATGTCAATATGGAGCAAATACTAAAGCATAAATAATAAATGTTTTGTTCCAAAAATGGCTTAAGGAATTTGATTTGAAAATAGCTGGTTACAAAACAATCCTTCTGATAAATAATGCATGAAGTCACTTTTTTACTAATTTAACTCTTCACAATACAACTATCTACTATCTTTCTTTCAACACTATATCTCATATTCAGTCTTTGGATACTAGTATTATTATGTTCTTTAAATGCTGCTATAAAAGTTACTTTATCAAATAGCTGCTTAATCAGTATAAAGCTAGAAATGATAAGAAGCTGAATATTCTTGGTATTATAAAGTTTATTGTCTGAGCATGGAAAGAAGTGTCATCTGAAACAGTATATAATTGCTTTTAGTATACAAAAATCCTTCCAAATGTTCAAGACAATAAAGAACTTACTATTAATGATAATGATGATAATTTGATGAAAGAACTATGAAAGTAAGTCAATAAAAATCAGGCAAATTTTTTTATAAAAATTTTGTTTGTTAAATTTTTAGATCATACAATTTAATGTCTTAGTTTTTATAAGATCTTTAAAAATTTACTTGCTTATTAAATATATAAATTTTAAAGTTTCCAAAATTTGACTAACCAGGTCATAAAAACCAATTAATTAAATTTACTTGGCCTTAATTAAAAATTTAAAAAATTTACTAAAAAAATTTGTTTAGTTTTTATTACTACATTTTCATATAAAGATATTGAAATACTTAACTTTCAAAATGTGATAAATCTTGAAAAATATATTGATTACTTTAAGGAAAGAGATACACATAAGGTATTTGATGATCAAGAAATTGTAAACCTAACTACTAACCTTAATTCTGCAAAAAATAAAAGTGATAAAGAGGATAATAGTACAAAAATATATTTAATTACTTATCAGAAAGCATTAACTACTATAGAACTGATTGAGCAATATATAATATAGCAAGATATCAGTAAAACAGTCTGGTTTGAGTATAATAAAGTCTTATTAAAGCTGCAGAAAGAAATAAGAAAGTTATGAAAGGCAGCTTTCAAACAAACAAATCTTGAAACTTACTTTATATCTGAGATCTGATCTTCTACAAAACCTATCTTTTTGAATCTTAAATTATGATATAAAGATGAATTTAGTAAAAGCTTTGTAATAACATAGCATAGCCTTAGTCTTTCATTCTTTTTGTAAAAAAAAAAATTCTGATCTGGTCTTTGTTTAAAATACTATGCTATATTAGTCCAAGTTCTTCAAATAAAAACAATGCATATTTGTACATATGTATAGTACAGTCTGGCATATTACCAAAAATGGATAATATAGATCAGCCTTTTTATAGTATAGAAATGCAGATCAAGTAATTCTTTTTGCTTTGGTTATATGAATTAGAAGCTGAGTTATATACTAATCAATGAAATAAATTATAAATTTTGAGTAAAAAAGAATAGTAAAACTTATAATTTTTTTAGGTCTTTATATATATTGAAATAAGAAATTAATCTTAATAGCATTAATGTTGATTATAAAACTTTAAATGTTTAACTTTATATTTATAAAATTATTTGTTATAGCTAACTATTGCAAAAAGCCACAAAATGTAACTGAATAGAATAATCTAGAATTGATTTCTATTTTTGGTAATATGCCTAACTGTAGTATATATACAAATATGTAGATTATGCTTTAGAAAAAAAAGTTTTGATAATAAAAAAATTATAGTTTATTGGTTGATTTGATCATATAACTATGGTCATATAATTATTGGCTGTTCTCTAATTGCAACCCTCTCTAAGTACAGGCATTAGAGCTTGTCTCTTTAGTATGCATTTAGAAAAGTTTAACTGTAATTCTCTTTATTTCACTATTCTACTAGATGATTTTTTAAAAAAAGTTAACTTATTAATAAGTTAAAATTTTTAGTAATATATTTAATTCTTTTATTTCTTGATGATAATTTTATGCTATTTTTTTTTTGTTTTAATTAAGTTTAAGTAATTTTATTATTACTATTTTGATTATTTATAACTTCTTGAATTAAATTCTATACAAAAGTAATTCAAAAATTTTTACTTGCAATTTTTGTATTTGTAACTTTACAATAAAGAATAATATTTTTAACAAGAACAGTATCCAATAATCAAAAAAAAACAAAAAAAAACAATTATAACATATTGTTAATTGGCAGTTATAATAACCTCAAAGCTAATCAGCAAGATCAACATCTTTTATATAATAATTATAATTATTAAATACTTGTGGAATAGGCAAAGCTTTTTATGATATATTACCAAATACTTAATGAACTTTATTTGTATTAGTACTTGTTTTATGAGAACATCATTGATTTGAATAACTTTTTACTTATTATTAATAATTTTATAAATAGTTGTAAACATTGTTAAAGATCTATTATTAATTCATAAGATTGCTAAAACATTATCTGTAACTACTTTGTTTAATATATTTTAATCTAATAAATTAGTATTATTAATTTTTAACTTTTTAGAAAATTTAGATAAATTGATTCAAAACATTCTATATGCATTTAGATTATTTTTTCTGCAAATATTTAAAAAGAAAAATACTTAAAAAGTAGTTATCTATATATATATATATAAAGTTTTATTGTAAAGAAGCTGATTTGCTAAATGCTATACTATATATTAAGCTTTATTTAGATTAATAATTATCTCTAATTCTAAATTATTTTTAACTTGATTACTAAATATAAAAGTATATATATAATTAGTATTATATAAAAAATATATTTTATAACCTTCAAGTATTGGTTTGTTTTTTATTTTTATAGTATATATGCTTTGATCAAAAAACTAAACCATTATTTTATAGAGGTGTGACAACAGATAGGTTGTCAATCTTTAAGTAACAGATCTAGAGTTTAAATCCCAATAACAGTGAAAATTTGCAATTCTTTCTGTATTATAGTTAACTATTTCCTATGATTAGTTGGAATAAGATACTTGTAACCTGTGTTATATCAGCATGACTAGAAGGTTTAGGCACTTGTACAACATTGTACAAAGGAACACAAACTGGTACTAGGTAGTATAAACTCAAGATAAGTCCTTAGGCTATATAAATCACAAGAACCAAATAAAAAGATAAAAGTCCACTTGGATGATCTGAGTAGAAAAATAATCTAAACTTTCAATGATGCTACTGTAAAAACTAAACTTATGAAACTAAGCTAAAACTTGTAAAACTGAGCAAATGTGCTGGTCTTTAAGAAGAGACCAGATGAACCAATTAGACTATTGAAATTTCTGGATTTCAGAAGAAAAGGATGCATATCAGCAAACATATAAACCAAAGGTGTATAATTATGACCTACCTTTTTAGGCTATCTGAAATTGCAACTTGGTAGAACTTGAATTAAATACCAAAGTAGTAAAATTATGTTATGAAGTCAGTATCAGAGTTGGAATAAACTCTACAAGAGCATAGCAGTTTAATGATATGCCTTGACATCAATGTTGATCTTAGTCATAGCAATACTAGATCAATTGTAAGAATAGAATACAGAAGATTCTAGAAGGTTTAGTACAGATTCCAAAGAACTGTTTTAAAGACTTAGTGACTATGGCATATTTTTATCAGCATTGGCCAGGGTCATTAGTAAGCAAAGGTAAATGGGTAGATATGAAAACTAGAATGGTTAAATAAAAAACTTACAAGCAGATTCTAAGTATGATAGCTAGTATAGAATCTTTAGATGAACTACTTAAATTAGACAATAACTAAAGTTGTATAAGTAGTTAGTTGTACACTCTTTCTATAGTTGCTCTCTGTAGTTGTAATACAACTATTAGCCAAATATACTATTAATAAAATCCTATGTTACAAGTACTCAACTTAATATTTAAAAAAAAACAAAAAAAAAACATTATTTTATCAACAAAAACTTGTAAACTAAATATATATAACTTTTTAAATATATTATGTAAATATGATGCTAGTAGCTCTATTTTAGAGTATCAAGTTAAATTAGAATTATATAAATTAGAAATATGAAAAAATTATTTTATTTATTTAAATTAATATGTTAATATAAATTATTTAATACTATGAATTGCTTTTTGTTCATTAAACTTTTAAAATCATCAATATTATAAACTTTGTAAATATTTATATAAATAACTATTGTAACATAAATATTTAACTCTTTTAAAGTTAGCAAATACCAAACATGATTATTTTTTTTAACCTATTAACCCAATTTAATTTTTTATAATTATTAGTATTATTAATGATTATTTAAAAATAATAATTAGTAAAAAATAGACAAAACAATATAAGTGAACTAATAATGCCTTGCTGCATTTTATGTAGCAATGTAGCTAACTTTTATGAAGCTTATTAATATTTTTTATTAGATCAAATTCTGGTAATTCTGAAAGTATTAATATTTTATTTAATTTATATTTTTTTTTTATTTATTTTTTTGCTCAATTTTTTTTTCTCTTAGCCATCCTATTTTTTTTATTTTGCTTATAAATGCTTTTTGCATTTTCTTTATATTTAAAATCTGTGATATAATTATATCTTTTCATCATAAATAGATCTTTATAATCTATTGTGTAATTAATTCTTATCTTCTTATGATTATTATGTTTAAAAGTAACCAAATATTGCAAATCAGAAAAAAAATCATTATTAGTAGCATCATACTTATCATTAAAAGTGTTATTATTAATAATACTATTATTATTGGTCATGGTGTAAGCTGTTCTTTTTTTTTATAAAAAAAAAAAATACAAAAAATTAAAACTAATAATTTTTTATTCAAAGAACATCTTCAGAAGTTTATTAAACCTTATTGTTTTTGTTTGTGACAAAGATATATCAATACAGGTGTTACAGTTACATATGTATGCATTGTGCCACAAACTATGAGAAGTATATTTTTAGAAAATTTTTATAATAGCATGAAAATTTTGCTAAGAATCAGAAATTCAGTGCAAATTTGCTCTGAATATAGTTTAAGAGATAATATATTAACTTTAAAGTTAGTGCTATCTTATATTAAGATTAAGTTAGGTTATAGTTATATATAAGTAAAATTGTCTTTTTAATACTTTAATTAAGCTATTTGAAGTTAGAGATGTTAAGTGGTTTCAGAAAACCAGTTCAGACTGAGTCTTGATCAGACTTTTTAGAAATTAGTAAAGACTAGTTTAGTATTGGTCCAAACTAGTTCAGCTTTTATATAATATAAACATAGTATTATTTTTAACATATTAAATAAAATTTAATAAAATATGAATCAATAATGATATACTCTAAGTAGTGATATTTTAAATAAAATTTACTAATTGGATATAACAATAGGTATTTCTGATAGTTAAGAGTTAATTACATCTTTTGCTTTTTGATCAATAATAGATTTGTAATTATTGTTATATTATAGTATTAATAAGCACCAATAGGTTTTATTA